CACATCCACTGCTCTACCTTCATCCACGTGTTTGGTCACCTCTTCAAAGAATTCAATAAGGTTTGTGAGGCATGATCTACCCCACACAAATCCATGCTGACTATCACGAACCAAACTGTGCCTTTCCAAGTGATCATAAATCCTATCTCTCAGAGCCCTTTACAATAATTTGCCCACCACTGACGTAAGACTAACTGGCCTGTAATTTCCGGGGTTATCCTTATTCCCTTTTTTGAGCAAGGGAATGACGTTTGCCTCTCTCCAATCATCTGGCACTATACCCGTGGACAGTGAGGACGAAAAGATCATCGCCAAAGGCCCTGCGATCTCTTCCCTCGCTTCCCATAGAATCCTTGGATAAATCCCATCAGGCCCGGGGGACTTATCTATCTTCAACTTCCTCAAAATTCCTCGCACATCTTCCTTACTAACAGCAACCTCCTCTAGCCTACCAGCCTGTTTCACACTGTCCTCCTCTACAACTAGGTCCCACTGAGTTGTGAATACTGAAGAAAAATATTCATTAAGGACCTCTCCTATCTCTTTAGGTTCTGTGCACAAATTCCCTTTACAATCCTTGATCGGCCCTACCGTTTCTCTGGTCATTCTCTTATTCCTCACGTACGTGTAAAAAGCCTTGGAGTTTTCCTTGATCCTATCTGCCAAGGTTTTCTCATGCCCCATTATAGCTCTCCTAAGCCCTTTCTTCAGCTCCTTCCTGGATAACTTGTATCCCTCTAAAGCCTTTTCCATTCCTTGTTTCCTAAACCTTACATAAGCATTCTTCGTCCTCTTAACCAGTCGTTCGACCTCTCTTGAGAACCAAGGCTCCCGCACTCGACTGCATCTTCCTTGCCTGCTAGGGACAAACATATCCAGCACACGCAGTATGCATTCCTTAAAAAATCTCCACATTTCAATAGTGCTCTTCCCTGACAGATCTGTTCCCGTTTTATGTTACCCAGTTCTTGCCTAACAGGATTGTAATTACCCTTCCCCCAATTATAAACCTTACCCTGCTATATGTACCTATCCTTTTCCATGACTATTGTAAAAGTAACAGAGTGATGATCGCTACCGCCAAAATGCTCTCCTACGAACAGGTCTAACACTTGGCCCGGTTCATTGCCAAGCACCAAATCCAAAGTGACCTCTCCTCATTTTGGTCTATCTACCTACTGTTTCAGGAATCCGTCCTGAACACACTGGACAAAATCCTCTCCATCTAAACTATTACAACTAAAATATTTCCAATCAACATTTGGAAAGTTGAAGTCTCCCATGACTACAACCCTGTGACTTCTGCACCTTTCCAGTATCTGCCTCCCAATCCGCTCTCCCACTTTTCTGCAACTATTAGGGGGTCTGTAAAAAAGCCCCCAACAAAGTGACTGCTCCTTTCTTGTTCCGGACCTCAACCCAAACTGACTCTGTAGACATATCATTCTCAAACTGCTTTTCAATGGCTGCTATACTAGCCCTAACTAGCAATGCCACTCCTCTGCCTCTTTTTCGACTCTCCCTATTTCTTTTAAAGCATCTAAATCCCAGAACTTCCAACAACCATTCCTCTCCCTGAGTTACCCAAGTTTCTGTAATGGCCACAACATCGTAGTTCCAAATACCCATCCATGCTCTAAGTTCGTCTGCCTTATTTCTGATACTTCTAGCATTGAAGTATACACACCTCAAACCATCTCTGTGTCCACAATTACGCTCCATCGACCGCATTTCTTTATAAACAACCTCACTCCCTGTTGTGTCTGTTGGAAGGCTGAATACCTCATCCTCTGAAATACAATCCAGTTCGCCACCCCCGCCAATCTAGTTTAAACCATCCCGTACAGCTCTAGCAAACCCCCCTCCCAGGATATTTGTGCCCTTCCGGTTCAGGTGTAACCCATCCTTACTGTACACTCCCACCTTCCCCAGAATGTGCTCCAATTATCCACATAATGGAAGCCCTCCCTCCTACACCAGCCCTGTAGCCATGTGTTTAGCTGCACTCTCTGCCTATTTCTTACCTCGTTATCATGTGGCACTGGTAGTAATCCAGAGATAACTACCCTGTTTGTCCTGGACTTCAGTTTCCAACCTAACTCCCTGTACTCGTTTTTCACATTCTCTGTCCTTTTTCTACCTATGTCATTGGTACCGATGTGTACCATGACTGCTGGTTGCTCACCCTCCCTCTTAAGGATCTTGAAGACATGATCCGAGACATCACGGACCCTGGCACCCGGGAGGCAACATACCATCCGTTCATCTTGTTCACAGAACCGCCTATCTGTGCCTCATTTACATGCATCTGGAAAGGCAAGCACTGATTAGGGATAGAAAACATGGCTTTGTGCATGGGAAATCATATTTTACTAACTTGAGTTTTTTGAAGAAGTAAGGAAGAGGATTGATGAGGGCAGAGCAGTGGATGTGATCTATATGGACTTCAGTAAGGTGTTTGATGAGGTTCCACATAGTAGACTAGTTAGTAAGGTTAGATCACATGGAATACAGGGAGAACTAGCTATTTGGATACAGAACTGGCTCAAAGGTAGGAGACAGTGGGTGGTTTTGGAGGGCTGCTTTTCAGACTGGTGGCCTGTGACCAGCGGTGTGCCACAAGGATTGTTGCTGGGTCCACTGCTTTTCATCATTTATATACATGATTTCGTTGTGAACATAGGAGGTATGGTTAGTAAGTTCGCAGATGAGACTAAAATTGGAAGTGTAGTGGACAGCAAAGGATACCCAAGAGTATAATGGGATCTTAATCAAATGGGCCAATGGCCGAACAGTGACAGATGAGTTTAATTTAGATAAATGTGAGGTGTTGCGTTCTGGAAAGGCAAATCAGGCAGGACTTATGTCCTTAATGAGAGGTCCTGGGGAGTGTTGCTGACCAAAGAAACCTTGGAGTGCGGGTTGATTGTTCCTTGAAAGTAGGTTCCAAGGTAGACAGGATAGCGAAGGTGGTCTTTGGTATGGCCTTTATTGGTCGTACATTGAGTATAGGAGTTGGGATGTCATGTTGTGGCTGTACAGGAGATTGATTAGGCCACTATTGGAATACTGTGTGCAGTTTTGGTCTCCTTTATATAGGAAGGATGTTGTGAAATTTGAAAGAGTTCAGAAAAGACTTGCAATGATTTGCCAGGTTGGAGGGTTTGAACTATAGGGAGAGGCTGAATAGGCTGGGGCTATTTTCCCTGGAGCATCGGGGGCTGAGAGGTGACCTTATAGAGGTTTATAAAATCACGAGGGGCATGGATAGTGTAAATAGCCAATGTCTTTTCCCTGGGACTGGGGAGTCCAAAACTAGAGGGCATAGGTTTAAGGTGAGAGGGGAAATATTTAAAGGGGACCTAAAGGGCAACATTTTCACGCTGAGGGTCGAGCATGTATGGCATGAGCTGACAGAGGAAATGGTAGAGACTAGTAAAATTAAACATTTAAAAGGATTCTGGATAGTAATATGAACAAGAAGTGTTTAGAGGGCTATGGGCCAAATGCTGGCAAATGGGACTAGATTTATTAGGATATCTGGTTGGCATGGATGAGCTGGACCGAAGGATCTGTTTCCATGGTGTACAGTTCTATGACTCTGTGCCTCTAAAAGTCAGGCTCATGATCACATCACATAGCATGTGACCTGAAGATTTAAAGATCTCAGCTTGGCCTAGGGATCACTTGAAGCATGACACACCACAAGAAACATGCTACTCTGTGTAATGTAATAACTTAATGTTAGCCCAGAAGCTTATGTGCTTGCACATAAAATATTCATATATGATAGCTATAGCAATAAATGTCTGTTGGATAATTTGTTACCACAATCTTCATTCACAGTGTCTTATGTTACGAAGGATGACATAAGAATTGCAATATCATGTAAAAATAACCTGCTATTATTCTCTCGTTATTAACAAATTAGTTATTCAAATACAGATAATATTTCAGAAATCAAGGGCTAATTTTAGACTTGCCCATTTTGAACTCAGCAGTTTGTTCTGATAGGGGTCAAGATGCACTTGATTTGGGCCTGTGGAAATGGTATAATGAGTAATGTCACTAGATTGTAATCTAGAGACTCCAGGCTAATAATCTGGACATTTGGGTTCAATTAATAAAATCTGAAATTGAAAGCTGGTCTCAGTACCATAGCAGCTATTGCTGATTGTTTGAAGACCTGTCTGTTTCACTGATATTCTGAAAGGAAGGAAATCTGCCACTCTTAACCAGTCTCACTAACATGTGATTTCAGACCCATAGCAATTTGACTCTTGATTCTGCTTAGTTCAAGGGAAATCTTCGATGGTCAACAAATGCTGGCCTTGCCAGCAACATCCACATCCATGAACAAATAGAGTAAAGCAAAAGTTGTTTTCTTTCATTTTATTAGTCACCTTCACTTTAGATCTAGATTATGTTCAAATAATGTCAGAAACATTGGAAACGATTCAAGTGGTTTAATGGTAAGGCAGTCTATATTCCTGAGAGAGTAATCTTTTCATGCTTTGATTTTGACCTCCTGTGAACACTCCTCTCTCCATCATACTGTACCCTAACATTAATGTCAGTGTTTCTAGCTGCCTTGGATAAATTGTCTCAATCTCATCCAATTCCACCACCTTTTTACTTTTTGATTAAATGTCTGTTAGGTGAACATAGAGAAGATATTTCTACTACTGGCATCAACCAAATAGTCAATAATGAATTTAATATGGAATTGTTTACACAGGAGGTGGATAGAATGAATAGGATTTGCTATAGGGCTATAGACTCAAAAATTATAGATGGATTTAATCAGAAGTTAAATGAACAAATCTGAAAATAGACAGAGGTGGTCTATGTGGAGCATAAACAACTGTTTCTATGCTTTACACTTTGTATGTAAAATCCTCAGTTTAGTTTGATGACAAACCTCAATGAAAAATCCATTCAAGCTCAGAACTGTAATGAAATTAATTGAAGCAGTCCTGTTTGAGGTACCCTGTTTTAAAATGGTTTGTTTTGCGCAGGTGAATGACTGCACATTTTCTCGTGATGGCCAGCTCCTATTAACAGGTTCAGATGACTGTAATGCTTGCATCTGGCATATTAAAGGTGAAAAACTTCTATCTAAAATAAAGGGTCACACAGGTATGAAACTTAAGTGACACATTTCACTCACCTGTATTGTTTCCATATTTATGATATGACCAAATCTCTAATTGAACAGTGAACTTGTCCTGTATCATTTATAGATTTTTAAGAATGTCTTTAGTTTATTAATTATATATTTGAAGCAATGTTTTGTCATCGTCAGTAATGTCCTTACTTGTTTCCTTCGTTACTGAATTACACACATTTAAAAAAACACAAACCACATTAAAACCAATGGGAGACAATTTACTCTGGTTGCTATGTCTAATGCAATCATAAACCTACTCTTTTAGAATATCGTCATTATTATGCTAAAATGGTTAATGGAAGAAAATCATTCATTTTGTTTAGATGTCAGTATGACAATGCAAGCAGGGAAATCTTTCCAAAACATTTGGATATGGGATAAAGGATATTAAATGATGTGTGATCAGATTAAATGCAGAATAAATAACAATGATAAAAGTTGTTTTGATTCTATCAATTATAGGAAACCATTTAACTTGCTTCTTGTTGCATCTTTCCACCTTTCCTTACCATTGTTCCATATAAGCTCCAACTCAAGAGTTGAAGACGTTCACATCTTCAGGGCTGCATGGTCCCAGTAACAGTAGGCATTGCCTTGATGCCCGGAAATTAGTTAAAAGATGCAGTAAGGTGTCCCAATTTTTGAGACAGGCCTAACTGGACTTCTCATGCGATTTCGTCACATTTCTTCCCATAGCCCACACCATTCAGGCCTCTATAAGATAAGCCATCGTTTTAGTTTCAATGGCTCAGGAAAATATATACGTGCAGTTGAAAAGAGTGATTTGTTTGAGGCATTTTTAGGGTTGTTGAACATAGAAGACCATAATTAATTTTAAAAGCTGTATGACTAACAGAAATCATTTTAAAATTAGTTGTTTTTTGGAACTATATTCACGACTGTATAACAGGGTTCATCAAAATATGTTCATGGATTGGTACAAGTGCAGGCCTTTTTTTAACACCGTAGTTCTGTCAAAATTGTTCAAAATTGTTTGGCAATGTAACATTACGCACAGTGCAATAAGTATATTGAGCAGATTCTGGTTGTTGTTTCTACTCCAACAGGCCCAGTCAAGTCTTGTGTGTTTTCTAATGACTCTAGTTTCTTCGCCACTGGATCCTGTGATTGTACCGTAAAAATATGGCAGACCAAAACAGGAAGATGTCTGCACACTCTGCAAGGTAACTATGTCAGAAAATACTGATCACATCAGAGGCAGAAAACATTCTTTCTCCATGGCAGTGATCAGTGCTTGTTGCAACTGACTGAAAAGGGTTTAAAAAAAGGGGAGTCAAATTATATCTCCCTTCTGGGTCACAACAAGATTAATCCCAATTAATGAATGCTCTTTCCTTCCTCACCCTGCAAATTATTCCTTTTGAAGGAAATATCCTATTTCTTCATGAAAATTATGTTTGAATCTGCTTCCACCATCACCCTTTAAGGGTCTAATAGTAACAACTCTGTGTAAATACATTTAAACCTCTCTTTTGGTTCATTAGCTAATTATTTTAAATCTGTGTCTTTTGGTTAGAGACCCGTCCAGTGGTAGAAACTGTTACTAATTTCAAAACTCATCCTAATTTTGAATATCTTTTATTAATCCTCCACTTGAACATTCACCTTCATGTCCCTGAAGTTCCTCATCTCTACCATCTTTTGGAAAATCTCTTCTGAAGTTTGAAGACAACACAATTGTTTTGTGCATGATAAAATACTCAGTACTAAACTTTTCACTGAAGTATGTCTGCATTTTTGAGAAATCATCAATGGATAAAGGAAGACCATTATTCTCTGAAAAGGATTCTCCTGCAAAGAATCACACATTCTGGGAACTTTCATCAGTGTTCAGGCTGTTGTTGTGAAGTTTAGGGCAAACACAGATCAATGGGAAATCCAGATATTTAGAATTTGTTGTTAAAGAGTACATTAATTGATATTTATTGATTTGTGTTGAGCCATTGAATTTTAGTCTTAGCATACAGTTTGATTATGAAGGCTGATACTCAAATGTTTCACCACACAAGGCCCAATCTCATTGATTTACTCTTAGTGTTTATTTAACACTATTCTTTAATGTTGGTTAATAAACTGTACTGTTGTTATTTTCTAGGACACAGTAAAAGTGTGGAGACTGTATGCTTTAACTGTAATTCAAGACTGCTCGCATCTGCTGGCTGGGACTACACAGCTATTCTGTGGGATACAATGGTTAGCTACAGGCTTTTTGACTGCAGTTGCAACCATTACATCTTATATTGTTCTGTCACACCACATTCTTCCCTCTCCCACACTCACGCTGCACTCTTCATAATGTGTTTTCCCTATCAATTCCTGGTCTGTGTTCTAACCAGTCTTTATAATGCTATCAGTCAAGAGTCCTATTGTGTGCTTTTTTTGTCCAGAAACTAGTTCTCTAAATGAAAATGTAACATCCAATTAAATCTCACTTACTAAAATTAAATTCAATCTTAAAATGAATGAAGCAGGAATTGAAAAATAAGAGAAAAGCTTTCCAACATTTTGGGTACCAACCAAAGGTCAAGATACCTTAGAACATACATTATTGTCCAGGGTACGACCTTAAGGCTTTTATCACGTTAAATATTTCCTAGATTACTCCTCATGAAAAACATTAATTTTACAGTCCAAATTTAGTTATTTGACTGGTAACACGTGACTGTTAGTCCGAGCATGAAGCTGTTCACCATATATTTGATCATTGATGAAAGAAATACAAAACTATCTTTGTGACTTTGATTAATAGAATTAACAAACCCTGAGAGCAGAAAATGTATTGACTGAAAAATTCGACATGATCTCAGCATCTATCGAAGTCAGACTTCCCCGTGATTCATTTTCCAGTGTTAGTCTACACTAACTGGTAATTAGCACATAACATTTAGGAAATAATTACAGTTTAATATGTGTTTACAATCACTGGTAGTTTTACAACAAAAAGTGCTGTTTGTTAGTTACTGCAATGAACATCAAAATATTTGAAATTGCCCAATGACAATGTAGACATAACAATTATTCTTCTGAATAATAATTCAATCATACATTTTATTAATAAAAATGCAATGACAGTAGTTCAAGTGCATTTGCTGAACATATATTTCCTTTAAATTGGTTAATGTGATATCTGGGATGTAGAGAAATTAATTACTCTGTTTCCAAACCAAACCAATATTAGTGGAAACTCAATAATATCTTCTTACTATCTAATCAAGAGTACATGCTGTCTCCCATAGAATACACTGCTGAGCCTTTTCTGCAGGATGATGATGGAGTTTGAAATTGGTCTAGAGCAACAGAGTATCAGTGAAAGCCAGGCCCCAAGAAGACTTTCCACATCAAGCAGATGTTCACCTGCACATCTGCTAATGTGGTATACTGTATCCGCTGTTCCCGTTGTGGCCTCCTCTACATCGGGGAAACCAAGCAGAGGCTTGGGGACCGCTTTGCAGAACACCTACGCTCGGTTCGCATTAAACAACTGGACCTCCCAGTCGCGAACCATTTCAACTCCCCCTCCCATTCCTCAGACGACATGTCCATCCTGGGCCTCCTGCAGAGCCACAACGATGCTACCCAAAGGTTGCAGGAACAGCACCTCATATTCCGCTTGGGAACCCTGCAGCCCAATGGTATCAATGTGGACTTCACAAGCTTCAAAATCTCCCCTCCCCCTACCGCATCCCAAAACCAGCCCAGCTCGTCCCCGCCTCCCTAACCTGTCCTTCCTCCCACCTATCCCCTCCTCCCACCTCAAGCCGCACCTCCATCTCCTACCTACTAACCTCATCCCGCCCCCTTGACCTGTCCATCCTCCCTGGACTGACCTATCTCCTCCCTAACCCACCACCTACACTCACCTTTACTGGCTCCATTCCCACCCCTTCGACCTGTCTGTCTCCTCTCCACCTATCTTCTCCTTTATCCATCTTCTATCCGCCTCCCCCTCTCTCCCTATTTATTTCAGAACCTCCTTCCCTTCCCCCATTTCTGAAGAAGGGTCTAGGCCCAAAACGTCAGCCTTCCTGCTCCTCTGATGCTGCTTGGCCTGCTGGGTTCATCCAGCTCTACACCTTGGTATCCTAGCTTCTACTATTTACTTTCTTGACAAAACAATCTCATTTCCATTTTATGTATAGGATGTACAGTTATGGAATTTTATTATTTCACTGTTCTGCAACAGTTAATGTACAAATAACACTAAGCTATTTAAAGTCATCTTTTTATTTAACCAGACAGGCTTTGCTTTGAAAATTCTTTCTGGACACAAGAATGTCATCAAAACCTGTGACTTTTCATACTCTGGAGAATGCCTGGTAATCTGGTTTACTTTACAGTTATACTTGTACTGTATCTCCAATTGTCCTCAGTACACTTAATATGTCATATTTACTAGTTACATTTGTAAAGCACTTTAGCCGAGAAGAATCAGAATTAGCTACATTGGTTACAAGAGCTGGTAAGAATATAGGAATACTGTGGTGAGTCCTGATTCAATCTGACTCTCCAAAGTCTTTCTATCATTTACAAGATAATGGTCAGGAGTGTGAAAGAATATGCTTAATTTGACTGGATGACAACAATCCCAACAATGCTGAAGAAATATGGTATTACCCAGGGCAAAATAGCCTGCTTGACTGATACTCCATCCATCACTTTAAAAGCCTTTACTACCTCTACTTATAGAGCACGATGACAACAGCGTATATAACTTTCAAGATGCACTACAGGAACTTGTCTTAAATTCCCTTGGCTGCTCCTTTCAAACAAACAATCTCTAACAAACTGAAAGCAGTAATGCAATAGCTAATGGGAACACCATGTTTTCCTCCAAGCTTTTCACCATCCTGACTTGGAACTATATTGCTTTTCCTTTACTGTCGCTGAATCAAAGATCCTGGAACTGCCTGTATCTCTGACATCATGAAATAAGCATATGAAGGATTGATCCTAGGAGAAACTAACATTTGTGTGCGTGTGTTTATGTACACGTGTGTTGAATTAAATTCAATGATTTATTGTCACATGTATTTTAAAAAATACAGTGAAAAGTATTGATTGTCACTAGGCTCTGGTGCCATTTTGAACTATTGAATATAATAAGAGATATTAAGGATTTGAAAAAGGACTTAAGGGGCAACTTTTTCACACAGAGGGTGGAGCATATATAGAATGAACTGCCAGAGGAAGTGGTGGAGACTGGTACCAATTATAACATTTAAAAGGCATCTGGATGGCTGTGTGAATAGGAAGGGCTTGGAGGAATATGGGCCAAATGATGGCAAATGGGATTAGATTAATTTAGGATATCTAGTCAGCATGGACAAGTTAGACCAAAGGGTCTGTTTCTGTGCTCTACATCTCCATGACTGTGTGACTACTAAAATTGAGTTCATTTTTCTCTCTCTTTCTTGTTCCTCCTCTGCTGCTCCGCTTGACATCAGCCGGAGTCTCTGTAATGGCCTCTGAGTATCGATTATAGGCCTCTGCTGCTGCTACACCCGCAACCCACGACGTCTGACCTGGAGCCATGGGCTAATCTCATACCCTGGAGCCCCAACCGATGCTCATCCAGACAATGCCACCAGACCTCAGTCGCAGTGGTCCTTCGCCAGTGCTTGGTCAGGTGCCAGGGCCTAGCTGCAGACCTGGTGCCTTGGCACAGCCTGCGAGTCCGGGCCGGGGGATTCAGCCCTGGGCCTGCTCCTCACTCTCTGGGAAACTCCGAACTAGGGTGAGCCACATGTGCCTCACTCTGGTATTTTTGCTGCAGCCGCAGGATGCCTCCTCCTTTATCATTCAGTCAGCCTCGGCCACCATCACTCTCTGGGCCCATGCTGCCATCTTAGTCCGCTGTGTGCCAGCTCTCTCTCTGGCGATGGTTTCTCACTCTCCCTCTCTCCCACAATCCTGCTCCTGGGGTTTGCTTCAGCCTAACTGGTTCAGGGAGGGTGTAAGCTCCTAATCCATCCATATGGTAAAACATGTGTATGTGTGCATGTGTGTGTGTTCACTAGTTGCTAGCCAGTGCTGAAGTATCAGCGGCCAGTTCTAAGTTAGTGTAATTAACAATAAATACACTCTTAAATTGAGCCTGATGTTTCACATGACGGTCATGTAACTCAGTCATAGCATAACTATGGAGAATATCTGCTAATATATTCCATGATACATAATAAACCTGTCTTGATATTTAAAATTGAGGCCAATGTCTGAGGGCAACTAAATGTGGGCATCCTTCTCCACTTGGTATCTATATCTTAGACAAATACCAATGAGAAAGAATGGTTCTGAAACAAAAAATGCTAGAAATCACATGGGTCAGGCAACATCCCTGGAGAGAGAGTAAGACAATGTTTCGAGTCTAGACGACTCTTCATCAGAGCAGACGGGAAGTGTGGAGGGGGCAGCATTTATGTGCGGCAGGTGCAGTGCTGAGTGAGAAAGGGTGCTAATAGTGCAGATTAAGTGATTGGAATGTGAGAATGGCAGAACAGTGGTGTGTTTAATTGCCAGACTGGAAAGAACAGATGGAGTAGGGGGAGGGGAGAGAGCGCATGGTGACAGAAAATGCAACAAGTAAAGCTAAACGAAAGGGAAGAAATGGGAGTGAATTTACAATCTGAAGGTGTTGAACTCAATATTAAGACTAGAAGGTTGTAAAGTGCTTAGTCTGAAGATGAGATTTTGTTCCTCCTGTTTGCGCTGTGATTCAGTGGAACATCGCAGCATGCCGAGGACAGACACGTGGGCATGCGAGCAGGACGCTGTGTTAAAATGACAGGCTATGGGAAGGTCGAAGCCGTGCTTGCGCATAGACCGGAGGTGTTCTGAAAAGTGGTCACCCAGTCTGTGTTTGGTTTCTCCAATGTAGAGTAGGCCACATTTGGTGCAGCGAATGCAATACACAAGATTGGAGGAGGTAGAGGTGAAATGCTGCTTCACCTGGAAACACTGTTAAGGCTGTTAGATGGTGAGCAGGGAGGAGGTGAAGGGGCAAGTGTTGTATCTTCTGCAGTTACATGGGAAGGTGCCGTGGGAAAGGGGAGTGGTGTTGGTGGTCATCGAGGAATGGACTAGGGTGTCCCAGAAGGAATAATCCCTGTGAAATGCAGACAGGGGGAGTGAGGGGAAAATGTGTTTGGTGGTGGCTTTCTGCTTGAATTGTCTGAAATGGCAGAGGATGATCCTTTGAATGCAGAGGCTGGTGGGATGAAAAGTGAGGTCAAGGGGGACCTGATCGCGCTGTTGCGAGTGATGGGAAGGGGGCAAGGGCGGAAGCACGGGTGATAGGTCAGATGCGGTTGAGGGCGTTATCAACCACAGTGGGTGGGAAACCACAGTCATGGAAGAAGGAAGCCATGTCAGCAGTGGTCTTCTGGAAGGTGGCATCATCTGAACAGATGCGACATAGGTGAAGGAACTGGGAGAATAGGATGGAATCCTTACAGGACATGGGGTGTGAAGAGAAAGAATGGGGCAGTGAATCTACACAAGGCATTTCAGGTAGTTCCAGTGAACACAACCAGTATGTACATCATGCTGACAGATGGCTGGAATTTGCCATGTAGCTCTCCCTTCCTAACAGCATTGCGGAGCTATCTACGTCACATGCATTGCAGTGGTTCAAGAAGACTTCTCACCAAAACCTTTTCAAGGACAATTGGGGATGGGCAAAAAATTCTGGCCTTGACACTGATGCCCGTATCCCATCGAAAAGTTTAAAACAGCATTTAAATAATAGTGGAAAAATATTCAAAATAGGTGAAATGAATGAAGGAATGGTTGCTAGACCTTGGTGCAGTGTTTAGGAAAGGCTTTCTGGAAGCTTTGTCATGCAGCTGAGTTCCAAGGTGTTTAAAGGTGGAGAGAGAAAGGAAGAGTTAATTAATCAGCTTGAAGCTGCCAACAGCAGAGTCAGATTTCCCACTCTTCAGTGATCTCCGCTGGCCACAGCTGTAAGGTGTGAGGGTTTCAGATCAAGACAGAGTTGTAATTGGTTATAATTCACTGCAAACAAAGGCCAAACAACACTTACTATCATTGCTCACCTGTGAGCAATGGGAGAGGTAACAGAGGGTGAGTGAACCTCAGGATTCACAACTAGGGCAGAGAATTGACATTGGACAAAAGCAAGGACATTGGAATATGAAAAAGTTACAATTTAATACATTGAAATGTAAAAGGTACACCAGATGGTACATCTGAAAGCCTGAATGTTGACATTTTTAATAAAAGCATTCGTTGAATCATGTTGTGAAGAGGTATATTTTCAAACTGGTGAATAACTAGAGGGGTTTTTGTAATACGTGTCTATGTATTTCAGTGTTAAATCTAGAAATTCCTGTAAATAACTTGTTGTTGTTCTTATGTAGGCAACTGGATCCTGGGATAATACGATCAGAGTGTGGAGGATACGAAAACCAAGGCAGAGAATAATTTTGCAGGGTCACACAGGCAATGTGAGCTGTGTGAAGTTTTCTGCATTTGGAATGTTGGTAAGCTGGATTGTGAAATGACATGTAATCCAGGGATATGGAAATGACAGGCCCTATCACTGTCTCAATAACTATATTCACACAGATTGGGGACTGTGAAGAAAGATTCAATGAGAGACTTATGGTGAGAACCTTAACTCCTTTACTGTGCCATGGACTGTAGCATTCTTTTATGTGAATTCCTGTCATGGAGCTGCTGAGATGCCATCATACTGCCTGGGTAGCCCAGGCTATCCAGGCAGCATGAAGGTGTATTTTGTCCTTTTTTCAAATGGGAGATTTGTGCCAAAGGTACAGAGTTGCCTCTTCCAAGTCAATAAAGTAAATAGCTTGTGAGGTCCTGGTTTTTTTTTTCATTAGAATGATAGAAGCAGCATGAATTGGTGGAGTCAGGCTCCCCTTAAACCAGGGTTTTAATTTAGCTTTCAATTGTTGGGGTTTTGAAGCTGGCTGTGGAAGCTGTTATATCTCTCTCTGCCATGGCAAAAAGCTGGAGTTCGCTCTCACTGCCAGTGTTTTCTGGACTGGAGAAACACTGCGTGTGAGACAATCTATTTTACTGAATTTGCCTTTGCCAAATGTGTGTTTCTGGCATGTTAATATATTGAAACCGTAGCTGTTTAGTAGTTAAATAATCTATTATTCTGTTAAGTTTCCTAATAGAGTTAAAATTATACTGATACTTCTTTTCTTTTGTTTGCATTTTAACTGGATGTAAAAGTAAAATCTGTTTTGCTTAAAGCTGAGTAGTGTGACCAATGAAATTACATCTGGAATGCATCACCTTACACTTGCCTTGACATAAGATAAAAGTTAGGGTCTAGGCTATCTCCTTGATTTGTTTGAAGGAGGGGTTTGGTCTGGTCCATAACAGCAAACGTAAGGCACTAAAATCAAACCTATAAAGCAATATAAATATTGGGATGGGAGGCCTTGGTGTCCCTACTCCTGGGCCAGAAAACCTCAGCAAGTCCCAACCTGTTACTGAAACATCAGAGAGTTATAGGGTCATACAGCATGGAAACGACACTTCGGTTCAACTAATTCATGTTGAACATGTTCCCAAACTAAATTAGTCCCATTTGCATGCATTTGGCCCATATCCCTCCAAACCTTTCCTATTCATGTACTTATCCAAATGTCTTTTAAATGTTGTAACTATACCTGCTTCTACCTCTTCCTCTGGCAGTTTGTTCCGCACAACAACCATTCCCTGTGTAAAAAAGTTGTCCCTCATGTCCTTTTCAAAATTTAGCTTAAATCTTGAGGTTGGTTGGCTCACTGAGCTGGTTTGTTGTTCCGCAGCAACACCAACTGGCTACAAAAAGACACGACCAATACTCACTCATCTCAATCCACATGGACAAGGAGACCCACGACTTCGACTGGGACAACACCAAGATCCTGGGACAGGCTAGGCAGAGACGAACACAAGAATTCCTAGAAGCATGGCACTCCATGAAGCATGCTACTAATAAAGACATTGAACTCGACCCTATATACGTTCTACTATGAAGGAAAACTGGAAGTGAGGCAATCCATCGCAACGGACCCCAGATTTTAAAAACCAGGCGGGGTTTTTATGGGGTTGTGGGTGTTGAGGTTTGAAATTTATATCACAGGTAGACAGGGTGGTTAAGAAGGTCTACTCCAAAATCTTACCTTAAATCTCTCAGCATAAAAATATGCCCTATAGTTTTGAACTCCTCCACCCTAGGGAAAAGACCCTTGCTATCCACTTTATCTATGGCCCTCATAATTTTATACACCTCTATAAGTCACCTCTCAACCTCCTATGCTCCAGTGGAAAGAGTCACAGCCTATCCAGCCTATTTTTATAACTCAAACCCTACATTCCCAGCAACACCTTGGTAAATCATTTCTGAACCTTCCGCAGTTTAATAATACCCTTCTCATAGCAGGGTGGCCAGAACTGCACATAGTACTCCAGAGGAGGCCTCACCAACATCCAGTATAATCTCAACATGATGTCCCAACTCCTATACTCAAAGATCTGAGCAATGAGGGCAAACGTGCTCAACACCTTCTTAACTACCCTGTCTACCTGTGATATAAATTTCAAAGTATTATGTACCCGAATTCCTCGGTCTCTTTGTTCTACAACATTACCCAAGGTCCTACCATTAATTGTAGCTGCCTTGCCCTTGTTTGTTTTACCAAAATGCAATACCTCATATTTATCCAAATTAAACTTCATTTGCCATTCCTCAGCCCGTTGACCGAATTGATCAAGATCTCTTTGTAACCTTAGATAACCTTCTTCACTTTCGACAGTACCACCAATTTTGGTGTCAAGCACAAACTTACTAACCATGCCTTCTATATTATCATTCAAATGACAAAGTGGATCCAGTAACGGTCCCTGAGGCACACTGCTGTTCACAGACCTCCAGTCTGAAAAACAACCCTCCATTACCACCCTCTGTCTCCTACTGTCAAGTCAATTTTGTATCCAATTGGCAAGCTTTCCCTGAATCCCATGTGATCTAACTTTACTAATTAGTCCACCATGTGGAACCTTGTCAAAGGCTTTACTAAAGTCCGCATAAACATTGTCTACCGCTCTGCCGTCATCAATCTTTTTGGTTACTTCCTCAAAAAAACTCAATCAGTTCGAACAGTTTGATTAAAATCTTTGTTTTAAAAATCGGACCATAAATATGATCTCATGATAGAACAATATCATTCATTTTGTTTTGAAAAATTCATAGCTGAAAAGATTTATTTTGTAAAAAATCTAATGATGATCAAAATTTTCAGACAATTCATAAACACACAAGTCCTTTCTCAGGACCATGTTGGATGTTCTCCAATAGTAGCTATTCAAATGACTGTTGAAAACCTAGTTGTGTTTGATTGAATTGTACTTAACATTTTGTGGGTTTTTAACAGTGGAGTTGGAGCAGAAGTGGGGACGTTATTTCCACATCAATTGATTTCACTGATTCAATGGCTTTGGGGGATACGGTGCTCATGGGGACATGGTGAAGAAACACAGCACAGCCTGAAGTTCTTTAATGAATAAAAGACCAAAAACTCAAGATTTCTGAGTTAGTCTGTGCTTGTGCTTGATCCTGAAATCATGGTTAGATTCAGAGGGCAAGTAATACTAAATGCAGGGTGCTTGCTGTCAGAAGTTGCTGCAAAATCCAACTTTATGATCTTAGCCAAGCTGACAGTGTTAATTTTAAATGTTTCCTCAGCTCTGCTGAACTACTGAAGGAGGAAGCCATGTGGTTCCTACGTACATTATGACTACTGTTGGCAACTGTATGTGTCTGGCTCAGTTATAGCACAATGCACTTTCCATAAGCTTGCAAAACAAGCATGATCTATCGGGTAATTCAATTGGAATTACTGGTGTAACTGATCTATATTCAACCAGTGCTTTCAGGAGGGGGAGTTACAAAAAAATGTAATATTTTAAATGACAGTTGACCTCCATGGGCTAACAATTGCAGATATCCCCTCATTTTGTGCATCTAATGTGTTGCTGGAAAATGTGTGTTAAATGAAGACGTACTAGAAAAAAATAATTTTCTCATAAGAAAATATCTGAGAAAGGAATTAAATTACTGACTTGTAATTTTTGAATGAAAAACCTGTTCATATGTAATTAAATTAATTGAAACCCAAATAACTGCTTCATTCTCCCCATCTCATCATTTCACAAGTGTTCAAACCTTATGGCAGCTAAACCAGTTAGACTTTGATCACTGACCTTTCTTTTCCCTTGATGATAGTATTAATATGCATTGCAGATTTGGGAAATCTTACTAGAGTTAGTGTGTCAATAAAACCAGAAATGCAGCATTCAAGAATGGAAAGCATATCACAGAACAATGTGGTGCTCGATAACCAAAAAGTAAACTGAATTTTAGTGTGCCCCTAATGCATGTACAGTATTAATTACCAAACATGTTACACCAAAAATTGAGTTTGAAGATAATAGTGCTATTTTAAGAATGTCTCTTTTAGGAAAACTGCTTCAAAACTAAAACTCATTATCACTCTAAATGGCAGAAATCTAACATATTCAAAATGCCAGTACTGCCAGATGTAAGTCCTTCTGATTGTTTCATAGGCTTCAGCTTCCTGGGACAAGACTGTACGTGTATGGAATTCAAAAAATGGACACCTGATCTTTCTTCTGAAGGAGCACACTGGCCGGGTGATGGCTCTTTCATTCTCCATGGATTCAATTCTACTGGTGACAGCAGCAGAAGATGAAACGGTATTTGTGAATGGCCTGACTTGTGCAGGAATTCTTGTTGCCCATTGACAGCAAGGCTGACTCCCTCTCACCTTGTTTTCATAGGTTCGTGTGTGGGATTGCGAAGATGGCAAGTGTAAGAAGATCCTTAAGGTAATACAATTCACTACCTAGATACTCACAGGCCAAATTAAAATGATTATAAAAGCATTTTTTGGAAAAACGCTTTAAATGTATTCTGTGCCTTAATTTGGGATTGTTATAATGGAGGAATCACCATATTTGCCAATGCTCACTCCTCTTCCTCATTACCAGCAAGATAAGTGAACCTTTAATCATGAGATCAGTATTGAACAGATTAGTTTCTAACTATATTAAAGTTCTATTTTGACCTGAACAGTAGACTTTTTTCATTGAAGATTGATGATCTTTACTTTCTTTTCTTAGTGTGAGTTGGAATTCATCTTTTGTTGCCAATTTTCTGCTTTTGAAACCCTTCTGGTTGGAGGATCTTCTGGTTAAGCATTAACAATGACAAAGGCATATTGAATTTACCACCAACTTAAATGATGCAGCGCCCAGAGGCTTTAGGAGGAAACCTGTCCCTCTTCAAATAACATTGTAATAGCTACTCAGGCAAAGGAGTTTAATGTTAAAGATGTAGTGATTTATGTTGACATTAGAATAAAAATCTATTTTGTGTACAGTGATTAAACTAAGTGTGAAAATGTATTATCTTTGGATAGAGTGAAGATTCAACAGGACATGTTTTATGTTCTCATCCCTTACAGTGGAAGTTTAAGATTTCATCATTGATGTTATGAAGAATTACAAAGTTATCAGAAAGCTACAAAAATTAATATTTGGCACCTATAACATATACATTTGGAAAACATTTTGAATATAGTATCACCCTCTTCACAAATCTTACCTCATGTTGTCATGGTTTTAGGCTGTGCTTTCATATCAACCATAATACAAATTTGTTTCTCATATCTTAACCTTTGAGTCAGTATTTGTAGGTTCATATCATCCTCTATGCATTTGAATCCATATTCTTTGCTCAACTCAGCATGTTGTGCTGTTGGAGATTTTTTTTTGGATGAGCTATTAAGCTGAGGCATCATCTGCCCTCTTAGATATACAAAAAGGATACCTTGGCACTTTTCAAAGACGGCCAAGTAAGAATTCCCCCTGACCAATATTTAACTCATAATGAGAACACTGGAACAGAATAAACAATCATTTGTCATTTGTGGGACGTTGCTGGATTCAAGTTAGCTGTCATGGTTCTATATTACAACAGTGGCTGCCGTTTGAAATACCTCATCACCTTTACAAAGTTTGGGATGTCTTGAGGTCATTAGGTGACAGGGAGTCAGCCATTTGTCTCATTCGAGGCACATCTGCAGTTTTCTTTCCACTAGTACATGTTCTCTTTTAGATTTTACTTACTTTTTAATTTTCAAACTTTTGTTTTAATTAATCTTGTCTATTCTCTAATCAACCTGCTATGTCTACACAGTTACTCACCACTCTGCACTGCCCAATATCTTTTTTGGTGCAAGAAAATATTTTGTTTAATCGACTCCCTATTGAACATTGTCATACATTTTACAGTATAGTAAGAGGCCCATTGTGTCATTTAGCACTTGTCTACTCTAACCCCATTTAACAGCATTTCTCCATATCCATCCATGTTGCGTATTCATCTAAACATTTCTAAAATGTTGTAATGGTTCCTATCTCTATTACCTTTTCAGGCAGTGACTTCAAGATACCCACTGCCCAGTCTGTGAAAACAATTTCTCCTTAAATTCCCTCTAAACATCCTGTCCCTTACCATAAATTTATGGTAATTGATTCCTATATTAAAGAAAAAGTTTATTCCTAGCAACACTATCTATTGCTCTTGTAATTGTGTAGACATTGATGAGGTTCACTCTCAGCCTTCTCTGCTCTAAGAAAAACAACCCTAGCCTATGTAGTCTGTCGTTATAGCTAAAACGCTTCAGCCCCAGCAACATCCTGTTAAGTCTCCACTGCAAACTATCTATTGCAATCATATCCTTTCCTATAGTGTGTCAACCAGAAATGCACACTGTCCTCCAGCTGTGACCTACCCAACATTCTATACAGTTCCATTATAACCTCCCAGCTCTTGTATTCGATGCTTCAGCTACTAAAGGCATGTTTCCCATATGCCTTCTTAACCACCCATCCACCTGTCATGTTCCCTTCAAAGATGTATGGCCATGTACACCAAGGTCCCTCTGACCCTTTTTACTTCTTAAGGTCCTACCATTCGTCATGTACTCCCTTGTCATGTTAGTTCTCTCAAAATGCATCACTTCACACCTTTCAGAATTAAATTCTGCTTGCCACTGTTCTGATCATCTTTGTTTTCTCCCAGTCCAGTACTTTATCCTCATCCTATTGTATAGCAGATTTCTCACAAACACAGCAGCTGCCTACTGGTCCCGTTCTCTATAAAGCTTCTGAAGCAATGTGGAAGACTGGTAAGCTAAGGCTATCCAAATGATGAATCAGAACGATATTGCTAGGGTACAGCAGGATACAGGACAAAGATAGGAAATAGGACATGAGACTTGAGTCAAATGAGTAAACAAACTGAAGAAGGAAGGGAGAAAATGCAAGGGGTTTTAGATTAGAAATCCAGGAAAGAAAAAGAAAAGGAGTGAATATTTTGGTTTATTATTTTTGAATGGGACATCACAGATGCATCAGAATTGTGCAAATTATTTAAGCAGTAAACAACTCTGAGAAATAGAGATAGTAAGAACTGCCGCTGCTGGAGTCAGAGATAACACAGTGTGGAGCTGGAGGAACACAGCAGGCCAGGCAGCATCAGAGGAGCAGGAAAGTTGATGTTTAGGCCCCATTTCTGAAGAAGGGTCCTGACCTGAAACGTCAACTTTCCTGTTCCTCTGATGCTGCCTGGCCTGTTGAGTTCCTCCAGCTCCACACTGTGTTATCTCTGAGAAATAGAGGCTGTGGAGAACTACCACTCATAATAAAAAGAATCAGCAAATGGGAGAGGAAGGAGGCAAGCTAGCATAATTTTCAAGGCAAAACCTGCTGGTTGTGTTACCAACCTGCCCATATTGGGTGGGAGTCTACCTGAATGAACAATTTGTCCCCCAGGCAGCATTGATGTTGGCACTGGAGAAATCACAGCATGTTTTCTGGGCCCTGCTTGTCTCTTTGCTACTCAGGCAAAGTTGCTTTAAATTGACCATGAGGCTGAGATGGTCACAGGCAACAGAATTGCCCGGAAACATTAGAGAGGGAACAACTTGGGGAGGAAGAGAAAGGGAACAGTACAAACAGAGGAATCAAGAGAGAGAGAGAGAGAGTGGGGTAGGGGGTGGGGAGAGCAAGTGTAATTGAGAATAGTGTCTATGTCATACACATTTCCTACATGGCCAGTACTTGATGTCATTTTGGAACAAATGTTTAAAGTGTTACAACCAAGTGGGGAGGGGTGAAGTGACTCGTTTGATTCTAAGAAACATTTGAATTTAAAGGGATGTTATCATGTAGTAGCAACTATGGACTATTGAATTTTAACTTCTATGATGTGACTGTTGTCCCTGAGACCTTTCATGGGCTAAATGGTTTGTAAAGTGGAAGAAAGGTAGAACTAGAAAGATACTACCTGCAGTAGTATCCTGACCACAGACTGAAGCAAGCTTTGATATGTGGAATAAACTAAGCAGTCTTCACTGAAATTACTATTTTTATCTAAAGTCATCAAAATCAGGCAACTGATACAGCATCAAGAAATTTGAATTTGATATTTTAGTTCACATTTGCGTAACAATTATACTTAGCCATCTTAGAAGGACAAAAGAGTTGAGCTCAGGAATATCCACTGAATTATTTTTCAAAATAGAGAGAGAGAGAGAGCTTTTTCAACAGCTTCTTTTCAGCAGCAGAGCAGAGAAAGGGAAAATTGGATTTGTAGTAAGCACTGGAAGACTCTCTCGTTCTTCCTCATTGTTTATTTAATCATCTCAAAAGGTGCTAGGTGTAAAAGCATTTTGGGAAACAACCATTCACTGAAAATTTGAATACAACTACAGATTTCACGGCTGCTGAAGATACCAGTCAACAATTGTACAATTTTGGTCTTAGGTTGTACAATAAATTAAGATAATCAGTTGAGCTTGTAACTTGGCTCATTTATGCTTATTAGTAACAACATATATTTGTATTCAAGGACCAATTCTCTGTGATCAAAAGATGTTTTCATGCCTTGTGCCTTTTTTCAATTACATGGATGCTTTGAGAGTTTGTATTTCCCCATTTCTTTCTCAATCGGAGTCAACTTACCAACCAATCAGCAGCTCTTTCTGCTCTAGTATAGACTTTTGTGACCATCTATAATTGGCATTCTTATATTTTTTCTAACTGAATGCAAGTCTAAAAGCTTTGACAACATACCTCATTTTTCACTAATTTCCAAATTCCAAGTGCAAGGATGCTATGGCTTTAAGAGGTCTTAAGGTAGAAGTATGGAGAAGTCTAGCAGAGCTCCTAGAGTAAACAGCTTATGAGGCCTTCGGGTTTTTTTTTACAAGTTGGAACAATAGAAGCAGCCTGAATGGGTGTGGTCAAACTCCCACAGAACCAGGATTTTTAGTTTTAGCTTTCAGCAGTTGCTGTTGGAGTCTTGAAGAAGTGGAAGCTTTCTTTCCCCCCTCTTTTGGTTACAGCCAAAAGCTGAGGGTTCTCTTCCTGCTACTGAAGTTACATGTGAGACAATCTGTTTTCTTAATTTGCCTTTTGCCAAGGGTGTGTTTATGGGATGATACTATATTGTGTTGTAAGTAGACCCATAATGCTATTAGGGAGGGAATTCCTGTATTTTAGCCCAGTGACAGTAAAGGAACAGTGATATATTTCTAAGTCATGAGTAGATTGGAGGGGAACTTGCAGGTGGAAATGTTTTTATTTATCAGTTGCCCTTCTAGATGGAATTAGTTGTTAGTTTGGAAGGTGCTGTCTAAGAATCTTTGGCAAAGTCTCACATCAGTGACAGGGAAACTTGGAGAAAATATTGAAGGAGAAAGTTAATCTCTATTTAGAGATGCAAGATTTGATCAGGGATAGTCAGTATGGCTTTGTCA